GCTGTATTTAATTTATTACCCGGACAGGGATAGTTTTTCTTATGTTACATTATTTTAGTTATTATTACATTATTTTATTATTAGTTTATTATAGTTTATCACTACATGTAGCAGTTTTTATGAAAAGATACTTATTTCTATAAGTTTTCGGGTTGCTATTGCTTTGTAATTCCGAAACAGCTTCGAGTATCTGATTCGCTTATTCTAAATGGGATCGGGATGGATTTGGTTAATCAATTTATTAGGATAATCAAATTTATATTTATGAAAAGTCAATTTCTAGCAAACTAATTACCTTCGAATTATACTTTACTTATTTTTTGATTAAGTAGAAATTTAAGTTTTAGTATTTCATGTTGTTGTTAAATTACACGTTCGGCAAACTGAAAACAAAGAAATTCTAAAACCATAATAAATATCGTCAGTGGTTAATTTTATATAGTTTTTAAAGCCATTTTAATTGCTTTTTCTTTTTCTAAAATAATTGATAATTATTTATTTGTCTTTAGCTGAAAATATTTAAAGACCAGAAATACATAACTAAGAATCATATCTCTTCAAAGCTCATCTGTTCTTTTCATGTCTAAAATTGAAGCAGATTAAATAACAGAAATAAGTCTGAAACAGAGATCAAAGGAAGATAAAATGCCTGAATAGATGGCAACGATTAAACGTTTATGAGGAATTTTGCTCCACATCTAAACCTTATATTCAAATATTTCCCGTGGTCTTATCTAACATTTGCTCAAGCATTTGACGAATTCGGATAACCGATAGATCGGATAATCTGAGATCTGTTGCACTTTTAGAATGGATTATACTGATGCTAATTCGCCCAATCAGGAATATTAACATTTCGGATATACAGTGGAAATTTTACATGCATTTACTGACTAGAAATTAGCTTCACAGATTGTTGTCTAAGTAACGTTTGTAAATTAAAAACTTTCTTGCAATTTATACTGAAATATAGTCTTAGTAAATTTATTAAATATGGAAATTAAAAAATATTCTGTTTGAAGGCTATCTAGGCGTAAGAGTTATTATTTTAGTTTCTTTCAAAGTTTAACAGAAAAATAATGAACTTTTCCTTGTCATTCGTAAATTCCATTTTCGTCCATGCATTTCTGAATGACATTTTATTCAATGCAATACCAATAGAGATAGTTTAATAAATGAAATATCTTAATGAAATTTTTATGTTCATTTGGAATTTTTCTTATCAAGAGTGCTTGAAAATAAATTTCATTGCAAGAGAATAAAAATAAGATAAGTTCGAATTGGTGTACATTGGAAAGAGGAGGAAGCAAATTTTATGTTCCTCTGCAATTTTATTTGATGTTTTCACATAAAACTGCACTTTTGAAAATGATGCAGGTTTCACATTTTCGGTATTTGCTTGAACTGAAAGAATACGACCGAATTACAATATGAGGAGTTTTTTCTCAAATAAACAAGGACTATGATTCTAGTAAGTGATAAATATAAAAATTTTATAGACCTTCTTTGCAGATGGTTTTTGCTCTAAAACTAAAAGCTCTTTTCTGAAAAGGGTATGTTTTACAAAGCTCAACAATGAAGTATACTTCTAAGAATCTGAAAGGAGCCAGAGTTTTGGATCATAAAGAAACTGCGAAATTCCCAGTTATTTATTTGAAACATTGTAAACACCCATTCATAATATAAATTGAATGTTTTTCATTAATAAGATATTCCTTCTGTAATTACTTTTTCTTACCTTATTGCGATTTATTATTTCTTACCTTATTATTTACTGTATTGGTCGCGAAACCTTTCAAGGCGGTTACAAAATATACATATTTTTGGGTAAACAAAGTAATGGAATTAGATTAGTACTGATATTGCTCATTGTTTTACAGGTAGCCTGGACATACATATTTAGCTTAACATTTCTGAAGTCCACAGTTGTTTTAATTTCAACTGGTGAGGTCTACCACACATCGGGAATTATGAGATTGTAGCAAATTACAGATCTTGATCTTTTTTCTCGCAGCTATCATTACCGTGGTTATGAGACATGATTTGGGGAATAAAAATGGTTTTGTAGTACCTATTCAAAAGTAACAGACATTAGTAAAAGTTATTGCTCGCTATATGAAATTGCTGAGGTTCTGTGTCTTATGAGTTTGCTTTTTAATTTGCTAATTTCGAGTATGGTGCATATTTTGAGCTTCTATTTGTGCTTTAATCCCTGCAAGTTCCAAAGCAGATTTTAGTTATATTTCAGTTTGTTAAGTGGCAGATTTCAATAAATATTTAAATAAGTATTTCTTGTTTTCTTCTGATTTTGGTCATTTATGATACATATCTATAGAAGGGCGATAAATCGCCAACAACAGTGACGTCCTGCTACCTTGTGAGTGACTAAGGCTAATGTGTACTTAACCTAAGTAAAGGGTTAAGTACAAATTGGGAGCATTAAGAATGTAATTAAAATGAATTACGTCTTAGAAATGAGAGAAGTTTGGCCCTAAATTTTTTATTTTTCAATCTTCTTGGACTAAATTATATTTTTTTTAAATTCAATCGACAGAACATTTATTAATTTAAATAGCACGATTACTGAAAATAAAAAAAAAATATTGCGCAACATGTTTACCATTAAAAAAACCTTCTATAATGTGTTATTATTCTTGAGCAACATATTGCTGAGTAACGATATATACTTAAAAGTTTCTTCCAAAGCTAAGATTGAGTTTTTATTACTGGAAAGATATCATTTATATATTTAATGAGCAATTTAATTTTAGTCAATTACTTTTCAAATGATAATCTCAATGAATTCAAATAACTCAGAACATCTCAAATCCATTAATAAAATTAAGACATAATTTTTTTTGCAGGTAAGCATAATGTCAAATATATTTTACAAGATTCTTTTATTTTTCACTTTTAAATCGTTATGCTACGATTAGGCGATTTAAAGCTTTTTATTATAAAAAATATCTTCCGCATTCCGATGTTTTGAAATTAAAACTCGATAATTTCAGATCATATGCGATATATAAAGGACGGATTTCATTGAACTTTGGATAAAATTTCTCTTTATTTCGAGGGGTTTAAGTTATTATGCACGATATATGTTAACTGCATTTGTATTCTGTAGCCATTGCTCTAGATGTAGCTGTGAATTTAGAAAAACGCGTATCTTATTACATTTATTATTTATGATTTAATAAAGCTTTTAAAAATGTGCAAATTCTCATTTTAACAACTCTTATTTAATAATCAGTGCAATGGCCGTAAACATTTGTAAAAGTTTCATAAATGTAGTTCAGGCAAACGACTGTTATATGCGAAAATATTTCTGAACAGGTTTTCCTTTTCTTCATAGCAAAAATATTGAATATGCTACTCCCTATTACTTTCAAAGTCTAAAATGCCCATAACTAAAAACTATTTTCAGAATAGCGAAAGAAAATTTTAAAACTAGTTTCTGCTATTAGTAAGTCATATAAATTTCTTAAATTATAAAAACTAAACAAGTCCTACTTTTAAGGAATCATATAATTCAGTTTTTATCTAGATGGAGAAGTACGTATTAAAACAATAATTATTGGCAAAATGGATATAAAGAGCTTCTGGTTATGCAAATTTTATGCATGTTATTACTTAATGATTACTCTAATGTGTTTCATGAGATAGAATAATTTTTTTTGTATTTTATTATTTTATGAATACTTTACATTATAAATAAAATGCATAAAACAAAGAAAGAGCACATGCAAGTGTCATTTGAAAAATAAAATTATAACTGGTTTATATAGAGCGAAACGAATGCTGATATATTTGATACCTATTCATATAGGTTTAACAAAATACATATACTGAAAACACCGCATTGCTATTTCATTCTAAAGTTTTCAAATATTCAGGTACCTTGAATAATACCAATGAGTCATTTTAAAGTTGTCCCAGCGCTTTTGTTAATCCTACTTGCCAATGACTTCCGATATCAATTAATACTCCACCTTTAATGCCAAGAAATTGATAATCTTCATTAACCCTCTTCTCTTGAAATGATTAATTCCTCGATCATTTATTGTTTAAATTAAACAGTAAGCGCGCAAAATCTTACCTTAAAGAAAAATTACATTGATTTAATTTCGTAATTGAAAAAGGAAATATTTAGGCTCTTACATTGCCATGTGGTAATTAAACTGACTTATACTTCCCTGCACACTGCCATAAAAGTAACGCTGCACTAAATTAAATTGTTTTGGAAACGTTTTGGTGTCATTTAGTAATCTGAACAAACTTCGAAATGAAAGTATTTAAAATTAAAATAATTATCACGCAGTCGGTTCTAACAGCAGTAGCAGTTGTAAAATGAAATATTGTTTGGAAATGGTTTATTGTTATAGTATGAGTTTAATGAAACTGCCTTACTTACGAGGATAAATAGTGATAATTCATTAAACTTGTAACAGTATTAGAAGCTTACAGACGAAAAATAAATAATATAATTTGTTTGTTTTTATCATTAAAGTGATAGTAAATTATTATGAAATTAATAACATATCATTAAACTCTGTTATTATTATGAGTATCATTAAACTCAGTTATGAGGTTAACTGATGAATCCATTTCATCAAAAAATAAGGGTAAATTTCAACATTATTATTTCATTGTCTAGATAGTATACTTAAGTTTTATATCTATTCTTTAATTTTAATTTTTAGAAATTTTTGTTTATAAGACCAATAAAATAATTTTCGAACTGAAGAAGCGTTTTATGTAATATTATTGCACGGGAAGCGCCATGGTGCTGCGATTTTCATAATGGAATGTATTCACAATACTCGCAAATTCTCTCATTTGAGTTTTATAAATGAAATGCTGAAATCTGAAGTCTGAAAATAATGAGTTTGACACCTCATTACAGCTTCTTTACGTATAGTAACCATTCAACAGCATAATATCATTAGAGCTTCTTTACTTACAGTACCATTCAACAGCAATATTTGCTGAAGATCGCTCTAAGGACTTAAAAGTGGTTCGTACTCGGGAATAGCTATTACCACGCTGCTCTGAGAAAGAGACTGATTATTCCTAACCAGCTCCAAACTACTTAAAGTAGTTCTGGATCCAGAGGAACTAGTAGTAGGCTTACCGTTTGAAAACAATTTGCTGTCTAAAGATACATTGGTGCCACTCTGAGTACGAGATCTCAGGTCTGACACTTTACTGTCACTAGCGGAGGCTCTTTGGTACGGCATAGCAGAGAAAGTTCTTGGTTCATGGAAGGATTCTGTTTGACGCTTAAGTGAAGCACCGGACCTATGATATTGCCCTACTAATGTCGATAAAGACATCTGTGGCAAACAATCATGACTGAGGCTTCTGCATGGTGAGGATGCCGAAGGCACAACAACCGCCCCAATGGACTGTTCGTCTTCACGTATGGTTGGAAGACAAGGGCTGGAAGGCCATTCAGGCAGAGCTGAAGCTGCCGAAAAGGCAAAGGATGTTTGTGGTTCTCTATCGGTTACGACGTTAGGCGAAGAGGGTGATCGCGTCCCCAGCGTTGCCCCTTCAGATGGCCGGACATCATCAACTGAAGAGAACCTAGAATCTACACCTATGACTGTTTCCTGGGAATATTCGGATGACATGGATGTATGAAGACTGGAATCATGGCTTCTGCAACCTTCTGATTTGGCGTCATCCATGCTTAACCAACGCGACATGCCTATCGAGCTGCAATGGGGAAGGATGGGGAGACTATTTTTACGACCCGAAGGGGGTTCTTGGCGCTTATGCTGTCCACAGCTCTTTCGGCGGGCACTTTTGGGCACAGTCCGGCCACTCGCGGTTGTAGAAGAACCGTGGCGACTATCCGGACCCATTAAGCTCGTGAACGAAGTTGATTGGGCCATACCGGATGATGATCCAGAGGCGGCCCATTGTCGTAAAGAACCCTCTTCAATCAAACTATATTTACGTCCTGTGCGAGAACGGACCTTTTCTGGAGATTTCTTTTCAGCTCGTGATGCAATTTTTCTTAGATTTAGTACCCTGTCCCATGTGAGAACTTCTCCACTTGAATGCCGCCTACTTTGTTGGCGAACATTTTGTTCAAACTGCTGGACAAGCATGCGGACTTCCCAGTCATTTCCTGCAGAGCAGCTTTTCCCCAGCGTTTCATCTGGGAAATTTTCGTCTATTTTATCTTCATTTTCTTCTTCTTCTTCGCTTGCAAGCGGCAAATCCTCATTCAGTCTTTCTGGAATAGTTTCGAAGACGGGTTCTTGAGGAGACACTCTCAGTGAAATAGGGAGCTGAGATGGAGGTGCAGGAAATTCAAGCCGCCACATTTCTTCTGGTTTCGAAATATCAATAATCTGCAGAAAAATTAAATCTAATTAAAGTTATTATTAATTTAGTATATTAATATAACATGCATCATCTCATAAAGCTCTAATAAAAACTGACATATAAACTTGTTTTAACGTTATTAGGACTACGTTGATTAGTTTTTTTTTGAAGATTTTATGGAAGAACACGGAATTATCTTTGTTTTATCACTTTATGTTTTTGTATTTATCTTTGTCTTTATCTTATCACCTTTTTAATACCATTTAATAAATGGTATTAAAAAAACAAAGTACTTTGAAATGAGTATTGGATTTACAATTTATTGATGAAGCATTTCGTAACTGATAACCAGCAAATTAATTACGTGTCTATTGCATTAGTTTCTTGAATTGCTGTCATGTGACTTTTGGCCTCGCTCTTCATATCTAATTATACAAAGGTAACGAAGAAAAAAGTAAGGCATAAACTGTAATGTGATGTTCTTTTTAAAAATCTATGTTGTAAAAGTAAAAATTTTAAAATCACAATTTTTAAATTTTGTCTATTATTTCTCCAAGATAGTATTTATAGATAACATAAATCTGTGAATGCCTTTTCAAGTGCTTACAATGATCTCAAAGATTGATTTTAACTCGAGGTCATATGACTTGAGTTTCGAAACATTTTGCTATTTACAATACACTTTTTTGAAGAATCAGACTGATCTGATTCATAAAACACTAACAATCATTTGCGTGTTGGATTCTCATATAACTGAATTCCTAACTGTTGCATGTAATCTCTCTGTTGGGTTCCAATATACCTAATTTACTGGCTGCTTACATTTGTTAAACTAAAAATTTGTAAAATATAGTCTGTATACGAGCCAGTTCTCCTTAGAAATTACTCCACGAAGGCATTCCTCCATTTAGGCAGATAGACCTTAAGTGCTTTGCTATAATCAAATAAACCAAACTAAGTTTTAAAAATATAGCGAAGAATGAAGGTTTTAATAACCTGCTGTTCGTCATCCAGAGAATAACTCTGCCTAGTGCACGGGAGTCTCATTCGACGAATATTTACTGATGAAGGCCATGACTTCCTCTGTACGCTGAGCTTCTGCTGCAGTATTCGTATTTCCTCATCATCTAGGTCTCTGTCTTCATCTTCATCTTCCTCCTCTGCTTGCCCATGTTGATTCTAAAAAAGAGAAAGTAAGATATTAATAATTAAGAAAACTAATTAATTATACTTGGTTATAGTTTCTAATTATTAGAAATACGTATATCTATTTCCATAAAATACATGAAACAACAATATAGTGGTTTCTCTCATGAAGAAAGCACTCTATTTCAGAACGGCGTTCAACATGCGTGACGCTGTTCCTCATAGATTAATGTGCGAAATTTTTTAATCCTTTCCTGGTCCCCATTTAAATACATGAGGAAAATTTAAGAGAATATTGAGAAAAACAACAGTGTTGCAAATACTAAGAATTTTCTAATTCATCATTAAAAGTTTTGTATACACACTATGCGAAACATACACTGCTCGTCAAAATGAAAGGATACTGACAAAAACAAAACTGTTGTTTATTGAAAAATTATTAAATTTAATTCTCACAAAAGCCTTATATAGCATAAATTGTCATACTTATCAATTGATTAATCTCAAAATACTGAATTTAAAGTAAAATTTATGGAAATATAGGAAATGATAGAAAAACCATCACACATTGTTTTCAACAAATGTTTCTTTTAATGTGTGGTCAGTTTCGACAGAACTGCAAACTTCATTTTGATTTCACAGGCTTTACCAGGCAGCTGATCAAGTCTTAAAGGAAAGTTCACTTTCGGATCCTGGAAGTTCCAGGACGTATTCTGCGTGCTGTTCGGTAGTCTAAAGTGTTCTTCATACGCTCAGTCTAATCGCAGACATATCTCCTATTCCAAAGCATTCTGACTCCAGAGATGCTTGATGCATATGAATCTTATTAAGTATTAGCAACTCCTGTAGGCCAATAACACTTCTAAGCAGCCTATGGACTTTCAAAATTTCGTTCACATATCTGAGATCGGCTTCAAAACCTCCGGCAAAGATATGCAGCTCGGCGTGGCCCTTTTCTTGATAACTCACCCGAAACCATGAAAGAGCCTTTGTGAAAACAGAATCTTTCACGAAAAAAAGGAAGCCATATTTTTGTTCCTCGCTGTTTTCAGATCAAAACAAGCCTAGAATTACGGATGAAACTATATCTGGGCTCATCAGTAGACGATATGATTTCTCTTAGTTCCATAGAACATAACTACAACAAAAGTTTAAATGTAATTCTTTGGAAGATGAAGTGGGTATGACACAAAACTTTGGTTTTATTGCATAAAGTATAACATCGTAAAGTCTTTTCGCAGCAATATAGAACAACTGGTTCGAATTTATATGGCTGCCTGAAGATTTAAAATCAATTCACTGTGGTTGATTTACGGTTTCTTCGGGGTAACAATGGTAGGAAATGATGTTTGATTGCAGTTGTTGCTCTTGGCAGTCTTTGCCTAAGTTGTCTACTAAGTGATGTCATTACTTAAAATGCGGTTCTAAGTTCTTGATATTACGCATTGTGGGGTATTCAAGTCTTGGTCAGCTTTCATATGTGATTGCATACCGTTGAGGTTGTTAACTAACCACCAATATCCTCCTTCAATTAAATGATGCTTTCGAGCCATAATTAATGAATACTGATTCTTCCTAAAAGAGAGATTAACTTCAAACAACAGCATGCACCAGAGCAACAGAATTTCTACATGCATCTATTGTAAAACACGTTATCAGTTCTTTATTTTGTAAATTTGATGCTCTAACCTATGCGTAGAACAACCAATTTTGTGTTCAACTGCAGATGATCAATATAAATAACTGCACCATTGAACAGTAATAGAAAACGTTAACGAGAGAGCATATTTTTTCAGATTATTTTTTAATGAGCAGCGTAAATACGCAGTTTCACAGTTTTTCATTTAAGTTTAATTTAAGTTTTTTGTATTTGACCATCGAAGGTAAAGTCTCAGCTATTTTTGTGCATCATCCTTTGATTTTCTTGAGGGGGGGATCAAATTTCAGATGTACCTTAAGATGGTTAACTTTTTTCTATTTTTCTGAATGATCTTGATTTAATGCACGGCATTGTCACTGAATTGAACTGATCTACCGCTTTATTTATATCATCTTGAATGGGATGCTACTCTTTGGTTACCGTCCGATTTATATTCTTCTCCTCACTAAGAAAACCTTCTTCTGAGCTCCCTCCTATTCCACCTCCAAGAGGATTTGCAGCTGTTGATTGGTAATATAATATTAAGAAATATTTTAATTTGCCCACTTTTCTGCTCCATGTCTTTGTTTACGCTAAAACGCTTTTTTTAATATTATACATCACCACACAGTGAAAAATGCAAGTTTAGCTTCGTGGTTTACCTTGTGATAAAATCAGTTTGTGGTTCACAGTCCAGAACTTGCGTGACACTGTTCCTCATAGATTAATGTGCGAAATTTTTTAATCCTTTCCTGGTCCCCATTTAAATCAGCGATACATGAGCTCTGTTCGTGCTGTTTCTATGTGGGACAGTTGTTATGCGAGGCATTTGTTATTCGAGACACCACTAGAATTTTATCTTAACTTAGTATGAAGAACCAGTATTCTATTATCCTGCAAAATGTCTATAATGTTCAATGGCAAAAAGAATGATGCATTTCCTGTTCTGTGCAGCATTGTTCTCGAAATGTAAAAAGCTAAGTGAATCCTTAGCCATCGTTTATGCATGTTATTCTTAAGTATTATTTCCAAAATATCTCTTGGCAAAATTATCAAATTAAATTTAGACATATTCTTGATATCTAATCACGTGTTTATTATGGTGAAAAATTTTAAGTGCACAGCAAATAAGATAAACTGTAAAAGAATGATAACTTAAAATTTAAGAAACTGACCTCGATGAATGTGTTTTCTCTTTCATCTGCATCCGAGCTGGATAAGGAAGAAACTTCTAAACTGGACACTTCATCGAAGGTGCTTGATGGGCGAGTTGACTGAAAGAAAATACAATAAAATAACAGTAAAAAAATCTTAAAAAGAGAGTTTATAGTACATAATGCTTCAAAACTTATCTTTCAGGCTTTGGTTTTTGTACCGTTTCATTTAGATTTGTACTTGTAAGTGCAAAAAGATTACAAATGCTGTAAAAATTAGGTTATGATAGATACATATTTCTGTAATCTATCAATATCTATCTATTTATCTTTCTATCTGTCTATCTACATATCTATATATAAATCTGTTTATCTATCTGTTTATCTATCTATTTATCTATCTATTTATCTATCTGACTACATATCTATCTATCAATTTGTCTATCTATATATTTATCTACCTATATCTCTATCTCTTATATCTAGAGATAAAAGAAAAATTTAGGTTTTTGCATGGCCTTTATAGAACAACTGCAAAATTTGCTTTGATTTTTTAAATAATACTTAGGTAGATGGGCGTTCGTAATATTTATAAAACCAACGGCATAGTGGGAAGAAAGAACTTCGTTATCTGCGTCCCTGCGTATAAAAATGCTAACATTTGAACATTTTATAATTTAAGGAGACGGTGGACTTTAAAATAGCTAAAAATTAACCAAAATATTGAATTTGTTATTTTGACCTCGTAATATTCCATAAACGTAACTACATCGTATGCAAAAGACCGAGTTGAAATTTTCTAATTTTTAAAGAAGATACAAGAATTTAAAATGTGTAAACAACGTATCCTTTGCCCTTTAAATTTTGGAAAAAATGTTAAAAAAAAAAAAAAAAAAAAAAAACGCATTTCAACAGAAAGAAAAGAAGTGTTTATTTCTAAAAAAGGCTAGAAATATCAAGTATTGACAACTATTAATGAATTTAACTTTGGTTATGTGAATGCTATACGCGTAGAACAGGAGGAAACAAATTCGTTTTCCCTACTCGTTGCAAAAAAGCGTGATCAGCGTCGCTTGAACCAAAGCAAAAAGAGAAGTTTACCTGCTTGGAGAAAAACAGAAACAGCCAATTTGCGATATGTTTATTTTTCTCATATTTAATATTATGTGATTAAAATAATTAAATGATACGAAAATGTAATCTAGTGTCTCTATATTCCTATTTAAAGTTAATTTGCTGTTTCTCATGACCAAGTATTAAAGGTAATTTTGAAGAAAACCTTTAAATTCGGTTTTACTCAAAACAAAACTTTTCGCAGTTCGTATGTCTTGAAAATGCTCCATGCGTCTCATTTTTAGTTAAAAATGAATGATATTTGAAAAAAAAAAACTATCTTGGTATATGTTACACTAGATCTGTGTATGCATTTTTGGATATGAGGTTATTAAGAAGTTTAAACTTGTGATAATGTTTAACAAAAGGTGAACTTGTAGAGTCATTAGAATTTTGGAAGCCGTAGAGATGAAAAATTAGCGATTGCCTTCGCCGGGAATAGAACCACGGACCTCTGGAATACCGGCCCAGCGTGCTACCGTTACACCACGAAGGCACGCTAGGGAAGAGGGAGAAATACCTTATATACTCCCCTTTTTAAAGGGCAACTAGGGTTTTAGGGGACCTAGTCGCCAAATCCTGGGTGCGGAGAATCATCATCCACAACCATTGTAGTTCGGGCGCCACTTGTAGAGTCATTAGGGTTTTTGGAAGCCGTAGAGATGAAAAATTAGCAACCGCCTTCGCCGGGAATCGAACCACGGATCTCTGGAATACCGGGCCAGCGTGCTACCGTTACACCCCGAAAACACGTTAGGGAAGTGGGAGAAATACCTTAGAACCTTTTTTCCGAAAATTGGGGTTAAGTTCACAGAAATCCTTTTTAAAAATTTCTGATCCATCATATGCAATAACGGATGCACAAAAACTTTTGTCAAGTCTTTATAACTAACTTAAAGGAAAAATTAGAAATAATATTGAAAATTAGCGCGCAAGGAGCCTTTTAAATATTTAAAATAATTAATTATTTGTTTAAAAAATTTTTAGTTTAAAATAAATTGAAATTTTGAACATATATTTTATAAACTGATTTTATAATACATATATGTAAAAAATTTCTTTTGAAAACACAAGAACTTAAAAAACTTTTATAGTCCACCATTCTCTTAAGTGATTCTTTTCGAAGCAATGAAGATGAAAAAATTGCGAAGTTGTTCTGGACTAAACAAAGAAAGCTTGCAAAATGTTTTTGAAGTTTGCAGAAAATAGTCAACAATAGCTATATGTATTTATAAATGCAACAAAAATTAGCAAAATTTTAGACAAAATTCAGTTTTGAAGAGCATTAGAATTAAAATTGAAAAGTTCTTGACAATTAACTAATTTACACAAAAATAATTTAAAAAATTCTTTATATTACCTAATTGATGTTTTTGAAAAAAAATTGCTTTTGTGGTCTTCTGTAAATGGTAACTGAAAGTTGATGTTTAAAATTATATTTAACGTATTCGTTACCTGTGTGAGATAACTTTACATTTAGAAATATTTTAAGTTCTTTAAACAAATTTCTCATGAGCGTAGTTTTTCCAGCGTATAATACCCACAAAGGCAGTTTCTCTTAAAATGTTTACTTCTGAACCATTTCTCTTATTTTATTAATTTTCTTACAGAGCTCCAGAAATTAATAATTAATTGTTTAGGCTAAGAAACTTAAAACACAGTCAGTGTTAAAGGAATTATCCCTTTGATTGAATATAACGATGCCAGGATTAAACGGGATTTTATGTTTTTGTACACACGAATGTATAAGCCATTATTCATACAAAATTATATTTCACAGTCAGTGTTAAAAAGCATATTTACAATTGACACTATTTAATGCAGATAACTGTATATTTAATTCGCTAAAACAGCTCGTCACTAATAAAGCAGAAAGTTGTATAAACCGAACAATGGATAATTATCGGCCGACACACAATAAAGATAATATTAGATTTATTAGCTGTTCGACAATAACATGTAAAGTTGTCAATAGAACAAATAAAAATATTGTAGGCGTTCTTTTTTTTTTAATTATTGGATTTTTGGGTACTCGAACACTGTCGAAACCTGTGAATCATCGAAACACGAAAGTCTCTTTTTCAACTTGAAGATACATTTTCGTTGCGACGGAAGTAAATGACGGATTAATACTTGCAAACTTGAGAGAAACTAAGTCTTACCATAACGCGATATTCCTAGAAAAGGGTTAATAAACTGGAGAAAATAACCTTTTTTTCCAGTTCGAGAATTTTACGCGTGCTTAGTTGCAACAATAAAGATCTTTCTACTAGAAAAAAATTAGAAATTGAAATATATATATATATAAATTGTAAGCTTTTTTCAGATTTAAACAATAAAGAAAGCTCAAATTATGAAAATATTTCGTCTTAAAGAAGATGTCTTCGTTTAATTGTGACGATGAAGAAAATATTATTAATTCGTATTTATTAATAACCTAATCAGTTATGGTTTTAATAAATACATCTTCTCAGTTACAAAATGAAACATCATAGTTCATTTTTTGAAAGTACTGAAACATAACCCTGCTTTCGGTTGTTTGATACGTATGACATGAATTTGCATAACACACCTTCTTATAAGACACATAATGACCGTGTTATTTTGAAGTTACCTGTAATATATTTTATTATGTAGTGGATTGCATTAAACATACATGCAGGCACATCATCGAAAAGCGAACTTTGATGAAAGGCAGGAATCCATGGATGCATGAACTCCATGATGCAAGAAATCATTGTTTCATTTTCATAAATCATAATTCAATTGTATAGTTAAGGGTGTTAGCAAAGAGTTTTAGTTTTGAGGAAGTCCTGTGTCTTGAAAAATCAGATACATTTTAGCTACAGACTATACATTTTGTTGTTGTTGCTTATGTTCACTTGTCTGCTGTAGTCAGCCCAAGTCCACGAAATTCCTCGTGGCAAGGAGCGCTAGATTACGTCTGCCGTTGGCAACAGCCTTGAGCACCATGCTTGTGACAGCACGAGTTAGCTCAGTTCCGCCCGCAATTTGGGTGCTGGGTCTGAGGTTCTCCCACCCCTCTACCCTTCCGCCAAACCACACGAGTAGACTTTCGGCTCGCCGCATATTTAGAGTGCCGCCATGCCGCACCGACACTATACATTATCCTTCTCCCGAATTCCACATCGGGTCCATCGGCATGGCAGCGACACTTATCACTATACAGGTCGGGCGGCAGACTTACATAAAGTATGGAACAAAAAATAAATTTTTACAGTTTTTAGGGAACAAATACTTTTAGAAACACTTCTTTAGAGCGAGTTAACTATTTACCTTATTTCTGGGAAAAAAAGTTTATTCTCCATCTTAACCTTTTAAACTTGTAAATAAACAGAGAAAAAAAGTTTATATTCTACGGAGTTGAGACAATTTGTATCGAAAGGATGCTGTCATTTCTTACAAGAGTACCCAAAGGACGCTCAAGAAAGTGAAATGTTTTACAAGTGCTGAAAACAAAAAAGTAAATATCTTTACCTTCCATTTATCTTTAGAACATAATAAATGCGAACAGTTTCTTAATTTGAAAAAGTGGCGGTGAGGGAAAAAATGGAGAAAGAAAAAAGAGGGAGAGAAGATAAAAGACTTAAAGTACTTTTTAGTTTTTGCAAACATCATTTATACGGATACCACTTCAGAATGTGTGGAATTCTATTTACGATAACGAATATCTATTTTATATTCTTTCTTTTATTTTTCCAGTAGCTGATTATTTTTTGTTTTTTTTTCCTTAATACTAAAAAATTTCCCGTTACTAACTATTTACGTTGGAAGATTTAATTACAGTTAGTTTGGTATGTTAGTTTTCTTGATTAATTTTTTATTTTCTCTAACTTTGAAAAAAGCATTTATTCATCACTACTGCTAAATATTTTAGGTATCCTTTCCAATTCTTTTCAGGATTCTATTAAAACTATGTTGATTGCAGAAGTCATTATTTAAGAACTGACACTAAAATTTATGAACAGACGACACATTTTGATGCA